AAACAGCAGGGTAATAGGGTGGCCCCGACTGGCACCTGCCTTGGCCAGCCTGGCACTGCTCATTTGCTGCCCCCGCACCCTGCTGCCACTGCAGGTCGCCTCCCTCTGTGGGACAACTGGCTGGGCAATTGAGGGGCCCTTGCAGGCACCTGCCTGTGCTGGCCTGGCCCCGCCTGCTCACTGGCCCCACCCTCCACCGCTGGTCGCCTCCTTCTGTAGGGCGCCTGGCGAGGCGATCTGAGTGGGGGGCATCCCCGTTGGCTGGCCTGGGGCCTGTGGGCTGGGGGAAACTTCTGCATTGAGTGTCTGCCTCCTGGTGATAAGTGCATGTCACAGCACCCAGTCGTTCCACTGGTCATTCCACCATTCGGTTGATTTGCATATTAGGCTTTTATTATATAGGATATACTATTGTATTTATATCTATCTATATATATAAAAGCATAAGCGACCATTACAACTGGATGACAGGATGACCAGATGACCGGCCAGTAGCTATGATCCACACTGACCACCAGTGGGCAGATGCTCAATGCAGGAGCTGCTCCCTGGTGGTTAGTGCACTCCCACAGCCAACCTCCCGTGGCTGGCCAACCTCCCTCCACCAGGCCAGCCACCCCGATTGGCCCCAATCGGGACTGAGCAAGACAGCCCCTATCGGCTCTGATTGCCAGCCAGGCTGAGGGACCCCACCCATGCACAAATTCATGCACCGGGCCTCTAGTATGTTATAAGCACAAACAATAATTACGTAAATATTGTTTTATACAACATAAAGGAAAAAATAGCCAACTTCTGTCTTTTAAAGTACCTACATAATCACCTTATCAATATTGTTTTTTCATTGGATTGAATTATTGTCTGAAATCACTTGCCTTCAGCATGAAGAATTTATTTAATATGCCTTATAAGGGAGGTAAGCTTGCAAAAAATTATCTTAGTTTTGTGTATATGAAACTGTTTTTATGTTGCTGTCATTTTTAAAAGATACTTTTGCTTGACATAAGAATTTTGATTAATCATGTTTTCTTTCAGCTCTTTGAATATGTCATCCCACTGTCTTCCAGTCTCCTTCTTTTGAATGATAAGTTGGCTGTTGGTCTTATTTGGAAAATCCAAGTTCTTGGTGAATTATCTTTCTCTTGCTATTTTCATAATTTTCCTTTTGCTTTTGCCTTTCAATCTTTTTTGAAGATGATGTGGCTAAATGTGGATCTCATTGGGTTCATCCTACTTAGAGTTCTTTATGCTTCTTGGATATACACATTGTTTCAATCAAATTTGGGAGGTTCCAGTCATTGCTTTTTAAAATACTCTGCTCCTTTCTCTTTAAAATGTGTTCTGGTGCTTCTATTATACTTATACTATACTGTATTTCTTGGAGGCTCTGTAGATTTTTTTTTTCATTTTTTCCCATCTTTGTTCTTTAGATTAATATCTATTGATGTATTTTAAAGTTCATTGCTTCTTCTGCAAATTTAAAGCTCCTTGAGTTAATTTTATTTTTCATATTGGTTATTATACTTTTCAAATCCAAAGTTCCATATAGTTCTTTTTATTTATTTATTTTAAAATATATTTTTATTGATTTCAAGGAGGAAGAGAGAGGGAGAGAAAGATAGAAACATCAATAATGAGAGAAAATCATTGATTGGCTGCCTCTTGCATGCCCCCTACTGGGGATCGAGCCCGCAACCCAGGCATGTGCCCTTGACCAGAATTGAACCCAGGACCCTTCAGTGCACAGGCCAATGCTTTATCCACTAAGCCAAACTATCTAGGGCTCTTTTTATAATTTCTATCTCTGTTGACATTCTCTGTTTGATAAGATATTGTTAAAATGTCTTTCTTTAATTCCTTAAAGATGGTTTTCCTTAGTTCCTTGAACATATTTATAATAGCTGCTAAATTCACATCTTTGCTAAATCCAATATTTGGGCCCTATCAAATGTAGTTTCGTTGCTTGTTTGTTTGTTTGTTTGTTTCCTATATATGGTTCACACTTCCCTGTTTCTTTGAAAAGTCTTGCAATTTTTTGTTGAAAACTTGACATAAAAATTCTGGATAGTGATTTCTTGTCAACATGGGTTTATTGTATTGTTTCATGTTTGGCTGCTTAGTGCCTTTATGGACTATTTTAGTGAATTCTATTTCTACTTTGGTGTAAAACTTCTAATGTCATTCAGATGGCAAAGCCTTGGGCATGTGCACAGTCATTCTGAATTCCGTCTTGCTCAGAGATGACAGTGGTTTTAGCTGGACTGTCTTTCCCTGATCCTCATGCTAAGATAGTTACTGGTCTGCCTCTAATATTACCTTTGCCCAGTTGTTATACTTTAACAAATGCTAGTTGATTTTTTTTTCCCCCTTAAAAATGTCTGAAGGCATACATCACTCTACCATCTGAACCAATTAAAGTCAGCTTTTTAGCAAGGATAGCCTTTGAAGCCAGTCTTTCTGACTTGGTCATGCCCGAGGAGACCTCTACTAAGCTTCTCTTTCCCTGGTTCTCTTCACTAAACATCTAGCTAAGCTACCATTTTAGTTATTACTGTCACAGAGCTGCCAGCCTTCCCTTAACTGCTCACCACCAAAACCTGCTTTTTATCTTTCACAAAATGCTTAGGCTTGAGCTATCCCACACTCTGTTCCAAATAAATCCAGACCCCTCGAGGTGAACTATGGGGTTATGGCCTGCCTAGACAGAACTTATATAAAGGTCTGCTTCTCTGAGAGAGATATTGCTACTCTGTGAGTAGGGTACTAAGTGGAGGCAGTAACCCTTAGTCTTGGATTCCCTTTCTCAATGTAGAACAGTGATGGCGAACCTTTTGAGCTCGGCGTGTCAGCATTTTGAAAACCCTAACTTAACTCTGGTGCCGTGTCACATATAGAAATTTTTTGATATTTGCAACCATAGTAAAACAAAGATTTATATTTTTGATATTTATTTTATAGATTTAAATGCCATTTAACAAAGAAAAATCAACCAAAAAAATGAGTTCGCATGTCACCTCTGACACACGTGTCATAGGTTCGCCATCACTGGTGTAAAATCTCTACCCTGTGGACAACAGGGGTAAAGGCAATCCCTGACTCTACAGTTGGGAATTTGGTAGAATAAGAGAGTCTCAGGCTCCAGTGCTTACCTGAATAGAGTTTCTACCACGCAGTACTATGGAGGGTGAGAAGTGCTGATAGCCTCCCCTTCGTGGGGATAAAATGTATCATAGACTGGGAGCCGGGGGGAAAGAGAGCTCCATTTTCTTGGTTGCATAAGCCCAGAGTAGAGCTTCCATCATATTGGGCGAGGGTTGGGGGTGGGGGAGTGAAGTGTGTCATGACTCACATGACACAGACTCTCACTTTCCTGAGATTTAATAGATTTTCCTAAATAAATATTTCTCCATTTGCTTAGGACAACTTTCAGAGACTGTAAATGGTTGTTTTCTCATGAATTTCCCCAGTTATGGTATTTTACTGGGGAGGGGGTCAGACCAGCTCCTCATGCTCTCCCTCCAGAAATGCTTCTCCTCACTTTTTTTTAATGACTGAAATCACAGAAAATTTTAGTATTGTATTTACCACAAAATGGACAAGAAATCAGATTGTCTATATGAAATGAGGGAAATAATCAAAAGGACTCATTAAGTTACTTTAAACTTTAGTTCTTTTTTTAAACCAATATACAAAGCATGTTGATATAATTAAAAGTGCAAAGTTTAAAGAGTTAATAAGGCTTCATTTTCTTGGCAAAATATGGTGACTAGATACTCTGAAATCTCTGAACATAAAACATTTTAAACCATTGGGTAAAATACAAAAATCATCTTTTAAAATATATCAATAGCCTACCAAGAATGTAATGGAAATAGAGCGATCCATTTTTCTCTTCTAAAGAATGATCTTACTTAATAAGGGTTTACTTTTTTCAGCAACCAGAAGTACAGACATTGGAAGTCTGTAGCCAATACAGCAGCTCCATTGGTGTTCCTGGGTCCTTTTATCTTTGTCACATCATCCTTATTATAAGTCTTTCACCCTCATACTGATGCCTCATGGGTTCAAGATCACTGTTCTGTCTCTAACCTCATGTCTGCACTCCAGGATAGTTCAAAGACAAGGAAGCAGTACAAGGAGGATTATATGACAAATGAAAACATTTTCAGGAACATCCAATAGATTCTGATTTTATCTCCTTCACCAGAACTATATCACGTAGCCACCTCTACTTACCAAGGAAGGCTGGGAAATATACTTTTAGAAGTCGTACACATTGCCACTGGATAGAAATCAGGCTCTTATTAGTAAGAAAAGCATGGCAAATGAGTATTGGATAGAAAACTAGTAGTGTCTGCAATAGCAAGGCTATGGAAACCTGAGAATACTCATACAACATTGCTAGGAGTATAATTTGGCACAATGACTTTGAAGAATAATTAAGCTGCAGCTACAAACGCTGAAGAAAAAATGAATAAACTAAGGCCACTGATAGCACCATGGACAGATTTCAAAAACAATTTTTAAACAAAAAAGCAATAAATTATAGTATGATAACTTTTGTATAAACATTTATATACTATGTGAAAACTACCTTCAACAAGAAAAGACTTTAAAATGTGTCACTGGAGATTCTGAAACATTATCCCAGATACCATTATTTCAAAATTTATTTCAGAAATTAGATCATATAAAAATTAAAGCAGATTCCATTTTTTGAAAAACCAAACACTGTTTCAGGGGCACATCTTTCTTAGTCATAAGGAGGTAGGATGTTTAGTGGTAAGAACGTGGGTTTGGGAGGCAACAGACGAAGTTTTAAATCACTGTTCTGAAACCTGGGGACTCTGCATCCTTCATATAATCGCGTCAACTCTCTACCTGTTTCCCCTTCTGTAAAAACACAGAAGTGGGTGGGGAGTCTCGGGGAGCCTGGGACAGCTGTGTGCACAGAGCCATTCCAGCAACAAATGAGATGGGGACTAGGACATGGTCCACATTAGGTCCAAGAGAGGGGGGGTCAGGGGCAGCCGTAGATCGGTGTCCAGGGCACAAGGAAGGCCCTGCTGACCAACCTCCCCTACAGTTTGTGATTCTGGCCCCGGAGCTGTGGCCAGGGCAGCAGGGCTGGCTTCAGTACCCTTGGGAGGTGTGACCCTTGTTCTCCGCGCCTGCATAAAAGTCTGTGGGGGCCTCTGGTGAGTCAATCGTCTGGTAGGCACTGCGTTGAGATGTGCTTCCAAAAAGTGTATAGTACTCCCTGGAGCCGAAGGGAGCCTCGCCCCCGCGCTGCAGGTACATGTTGTAGAGCATGAAGCAGGAGAAGGGCTTGAGGAGCAGGCTGAGGATGGTCATGCCAGCGCCAAAGCGCCCTACGTCCAAGAGGCCGGCCCGCGGGTAGAAGATGCTGATGTGGATGATGTCCAGGAGGATGGTGACCACCAAACCACCCAGAAACATGCTTATAGCGTCGATGGAATCCTTCTGAGCCACGGCCCAAACGCCTAAGGCCAGGAAAGAATTCCTACTTTCCAGGATTGTTGTGAAGATTGGAAACAACGGTGTGTCTAACCCAGGTCTAGTCCTTATTAGGTGAATAGTAAATTTTTGCTTTGGTATATAAATTTGTTTCTCAATTTTTGTACCCTGAATTATTTCATACACAAACTGTGGTGTCACTGGAAACCGCTGTCAGGATCCCTGAAATAGCCTGGGCGAGACTTTTACATTCCCATCACTGTTAAGCACTAAAGGATCCTTTTCAATGGCACACCCAGGACAAAATGAAACAGGAAGTGGAAACGGAGCAGTTTGACGAATACATTTAAATCCAAGGGGCCATGATTTTTAAGGCAATTTAACATTTAAAAAATATATCCTTTTTAATAGAGACAATACTACATGTGTTCTAATGTTTAGTGTAGCTCTTTATATTATCTACATAGTTTATATTCTTGAAATTATAAGATTTTTTGTAAATCTAAGACTCTTACCAAATTACAGGAAAAAGTATCCTTTATATATATTATATGCCATGCAATTATGGCTCATAGCTCTTTTAGAAGATGTTAAGGAAAAAAGTTATGGTGAGAGATCAATGGTTTATTTAAAAAATTAAAAAAGATGCCAGTATAAACACACACACTGGACAAGGGCCACTTGGACCAAGAGCTAATGCTGGGATCTTATGTGCTGTATGATAAAATATCATATTTCAATCTGAATTCCTTATTCCTTCTTTAATGTAAGAGCAACATATTCCTCTATGGTTACTTTGGGGTTATATAATTTATAGTGATTTAATAAATGCTATCTGATAATATGATCTCTAAATTTTACTTAATCTTTCCTAGCTCTAAAAGAAAAACAACAAGAAATCCAATGTAGAAACACATTGCTGAATACTTTTCATTAACATGAAAAAAAAGTGGATGAGTACTTTTCAGTCTTAAAGGAGAGACAGGGAGATTCCTTTGAGGGCTGAGAAATCTGAGTGGCAGGACTGAATCCACGATAGTCTAGAGATGGCCAACTACTGCACAAAGACATGATTCTTTATGGCACAAAACAGCTGCTTCTTCTTTCACTTGTGAGAGGGTGTCAAAATATCATATCACTTCCTCCTTTAGGAAGATTAGGCAAATTTAATATGTTATTATTATCAGCCAATGACTATGTATTTCAAATTAATTTGCCAATGAACTTCTCTTGAACTTGGGAGAAGGCATCTGATGATTGATGATGACAAAAGAAAGGTCCCGCGTCCCAGAGTGCTGTCAGAGTGTGGACATTTTGAAGGAAGGAAAGGTGAAGGAAGAAAGGCAGGACAAGAGAGCTGGCAACAGAACTGGCTTACTTTCTAGTCATGTCTGAACTTTCCATGGAGGAAGAGGACAGATAGGAGAAAGAGTGCTAAAGGCTTCAAAAAGATAGGGGCCTGTCAGGCTCTGTGCTACTTTGGGTCTGTGCAGTAAGGTCTCAAACTCAAATATTGGGGAAAAGAGAAGAGATAATATTCTTGGGAGGGATATAATAATGCATATGCCCTCTGTATCAGTCATGGTTCTCTAGAGAAGCATAATCAATAGAATATATCCTATAGGCTATTGCATATATATTTTTATACATATTAGCATAATTAGGTTAATTACATGTAATTGGCTCATGTGACTATGGAGGCTGGGAAGTCCCACAAGCTTTCATCTGGAGACCCAAGAAAGCAAGTGATGTAAATTCCAGGCCAAGACCGCGGCCCGACAAACAGAAATGACAATGGCCTAAGTCTGAATTCAAGGACAGAAGACTAAAGTGTGAACTCAGGCAGTCAGGTAGAAAGTAAATTCACCCTTCCTCCACTTTTCTGGTCTATTGAGGCCCCCAATGGACTGGATGAGGCCCACCCACATTGGGAAGGGCAAACTGCTTTATTCAGTACATCAGTTCAAATGATAATCTCTTCTGGAAATGCCTTAAAAGACATACTTGGAAGCAATATTAAATCTGAGCACCTCAGGTCCCAATCAAATTGACACAAAAATGAACCATCATATTCTCCATTTGCTAATTAGTCTTGCGTGGAGTGTGGGCCTTCTACTGAGGCTCTGAAACTTGGTACTCTATCTCTCAGCGGGGAAATACTGAGAATGTCCAAGTGTGAAAAAAAAAATAGAGAAAAGAATGACTAGGAAAGTTAGAAAAGCTTAGGGGTAAGCAAGTGCCAATTCTTTGGCTAACATATGGGAAACATTACTAAAGAGAGAGCAAATTTTTAAATGGCAGGTTTAAAATGAAATTGTTATCTTTCTTTACATGCCCTTATTCAAACATTTAGCTGAAGAATTACTCAAACTTGGAAATCCATTGAGCCCCATGTGAGGAAATTAGAGTTGCTTTTATCTTTTTTAGCAAAAGCAGAACATAGACATTATAAAGAACCCAAGGTGTGAATATAATTGCCCCACATAGGTACAGTTACCCCAAATACAAGTCTTGTCTGGCTACTGTTACTTTCTTGTCTTGATGGGATATAGTTTATTTATTCTCCCTTCCATTTCTGTTCAGAAGGGACATTGGGTGTCCACTCTACATAATAAGCTGTACATCATAAGCTCTCACTTTATTATTATTTTATTATTCTAAGTAACAAACTGTACATTATAAGCCCTGACTTCACAGTCCCAGGCAGAGAGGGAGTTCTGACAACCTGAATGCCACTATTCAGACAACCGCCCTGGAAGGAAAATATACCAAGGGCATGTTTAACCACAGAGGGAGCAGAAGCCTTCCAAGAACTACAGGAGGAAAGACAAGGTTCCCTCCCTCAACTCAATTTAAAGCAGTTCTAGTCAAGAGGTATATTCAAATGATTTGGGAGTGACATTTTAAAGGAAGGAAAGATGAAGGAAGAAAGGAAGTACAAGAGAGGTTGTTTTTTTTTCAGCAATCCAAAATCAGGAGGTCCTGATTAATTAAAGCAACATGAAACATGTTAGTTAAATGTTTTGGTCAAACATTTTCTAAAACTATTTAGTAATCTAAACTCAAATGTCACCAAATAAAGAAAAAAAATACTTTGTGTGTGTGTGTGTGTAAACTTTACATTAATCTAAACAGAGATTCTTTCCTGTTTGTGTATCTAGCGCTGGAAGTGCTATGATATATTTAGAGTTGTGAAGCCAATAGACTGAGGTTCAAACCCTGCCTCCTTAAGTAACATGGGCAAGTTATTTCACACCTCTGACACCCGCTTTTCTATATGTAAAGTGAGGATAATAGAATCTACTTGATGAGGTTTTGTATGTATTAAATAATTCACAGGCCAAACTGTAGCACAGGGCTTAGCACCTAGATGCCACTCATCGCATGTGGGTTTTTTTTCATTTTTATAAATAAATTTGTGTTGCCTTAAATATTTTGCACTCTGTAAGACATGAAACAATGGATGAAGTTGTGTTTTATATTATTTTATAGACTCAAAATTTTCAACCAATTTTACATGATTAACTAAAATCTGTGATTTTATCTAAAAGTACAAATGACTATTTTTTTTTTACAACAACAACAAATAAAAAGAGCTAGAGGTAGAGAAATATGTAGTAAGCATTTACTCAATAGTAGGTCTGAATTATGTTTGGGAGCTAGAAAGGTGTAAGAAATGGTTAGTCTCCCCTAATCTGATAAAAGATCGTTAGATTAGAGATTTTACGGGACTTGATGACATCTGTGATTCTCCACTATCAGGCCCCTACCTGTTTCTCTAGTTTTACAAATCCCTCGGTGCTCTTACCTCACCTTAACTCCAGAACACCAAACGCTTATTCTCTGCTATTTTTTTATGGATTCCTTTGATCAAGCTGTCTTCTAAACCTGGGTTCCACCTAGATATCCTTAAAGATTCAACCCAAGCATGACTTCCTAAATTCTTATTCCCTTCTCCTCCTGTCCCATCCATGACATTCCACTACCATGGGCTATGTGCCACTCCTCAGGGTTCGCATAATACTTTTGCATATTCCTATCACTGTAATTCCACATTGTTTGTGAACCCATGAGCTCTTTAGGCTGTTTATTCATCTCTGAATTTCTTCTTCCCACCTCGGAGCTTGGCATCTAATAGAAAACTCAAAATGATTAGTGGGATAAATGAATAAATTACCGACCTCATGTTAGAAAACAACTTAATAGTTTCTGCTATATACTGATTGTATTCCCCCAAAATTCATATGTAGAAATTTAATCCCATTGTGAGGATATTTGGGATTAGGGGCTCTAGGAGGTAATTAGGTCATGAGAACAGATCATTAGTAAATGGGATTAGCACCCTTATAAAAGAGGCTTCAGAGAGATTTCTCATCCCTTCTGCCATATGAACCAGAAAGTAGGTCCTCGCCAGACACTACATCTGCTAGCACCTTGATCTTGGACTTTCAGCCTCCAGAATTGTGAGCAATAAATTTTTTGTTGTTGTTGTTTATTAGCTACTTGATCTGTGACATTTTGTTATAGCAATTCACACCAAGACAGTAGTGTTAGGGACAAACACAAGGTCCCTGAACTTTAGGTTATGATCAGCACTCATCAGATCACCCAAAACTGCAATTCCTTGGACAGTTCTGGACACAGCTAATGTATTATACTGTTTTTCAAGTGGGACGATTTAAGAACAAAATGTATAATTCTATCATGAGTCAAGATTATGGCTTGAAATAAAGTCCACATCTGTAATTACTTCACCTGGGTTTTTGTGACTCTACTGCATACCCTCTTCCAGAAAAAAAGATTCTAGTACAACTTCTTTGGCATCATTATTCAGTAGCAGGAAACTGTGATATGATACCTTTTAATAGACGGACCTAACCACACCAGGTTTAAGTTGAGTCTGGATGAGTTCAACAGAAAACCAAATTTCCTCAGACTTTCTCTATGATCTTGCAGGTTACCTCAAGTTTGAAGATGTATATATTCAA